TGTGTGTGTGTGTGTGTGTGTGTGTGTGTGTGTAGGGACACAGTCTAGCTTGCTTAGCACTGGTGCTGAGGGGTTGCAGGAGGCATGTGTCTTCCAGGGCATAGGCACCAGGTCCTTGGCATCTGGGCATCTAGGACATAAAGGAGAGGAATTTTGTTTACAGCAGGGGAAGGAGCTGTCCTCGCTATATTCTATCACTTCCAAGGACAGCCTTGCCACCTCCCTACACACACACACACACACACACACACACACACACACACACACTGAACAAATGACATTTCAATCTTGTCGCAGAGACATATGTGGGTCCCCATACTGAGGATGCTTCAACTTAAAATTGCCTAAAATTCTTTGACCCCCCCCCAAAATAAAAAAATAAAAGGAGGTTCATTCTACAAGTTGTAGTTGATGCATCGCAAGTCAAATATTGATGAGCCTCAACAGCAGAATCACGTGTTGTGCTTCAGGCTGAGCAAGGACCCACAGCTGTTTCCCAGGCTGAAGAAGGGGAGAAGAAGGGGAATCAGAGGCCACTGAAATGTTTGTCACCTGTGGGGAAAGGCCAGGGAGATGATGGTACCAAGGAAGGGGTGAGAGAGACAGGCTGAAAATCACCTCCACTCTGTGTACATTGGCTTTATGTGCTCTCCACAAGAGTGTCATTGCCCACACAGACTCGTTTACAAAGCTGATAAGGAACACATTGGAAGTATGTTCTCTGATTTCAAAGGAGCAAGAGGTTCTTTTCCCATTTCAATATTAAGGTAACTTGCCAACTTCATTGTTGTAGGAGGGACAAAAATCAGCTCTGAAAGACTGAACTCTTATGGATTTCCTATTTGATAACAATATTTTCAAAAAAAAAATTTTAAACCTTCTAGAAAGAAATGTCTAGACTGTCAAAACAAAACTCCAAAATTTCTTTAAAAGGGTCATTTGCCTATTTGCCTATTTTCTAACGGCAAATATCCAAAATCATCTATTTTTTAAAAAAAATTCAAATTATTCTACTGATCTGCAAAAATTACAATAATATATATATGTAACTATATAAAATTACAATAATAAATATATAAATTCAATAGTGTATATACATATATAATATACATATTATATATATAGTAGTCCCAATTTATCCTTCAGGGATCCATTCCAAGACCCTCAGTGGATGTTTTGGTTCGTGGATATTATGGAACTAAGTCTCTCTCTCTCTCTCTCTCTATATATATATATATATATATATATATATATATATATACTAAGTCTCTCTCTCTCTCTCTCTCTCTCTCTCTATATATATATATATATATACACACACACATATATAATACACATATATATATATATATACACACACACACACACATATTTATTCTGTTTTTCCTATACAGGCATAGCTATGATAAAGTTTAATTTATAAATTAGGCATGGTAAAAGTTTAACAACAATGACTAATGATAAAATAGAAAGTTATACCAATATGGAGCAAAAAAAATTTTGGCATCATTAGTTTTGTGCTTCGGGATAATTATTAATTAAAACAAGGGTTATTTAACACAAACACTGTCATACTATTATAGTCAATCTGGTAAGAAAGATAGCAGTTAAACAACTAATGAGTAGCATATACAGTGTGGATACACTGGACAAAGGGATGATTGATCTCCCTGGCAGGATGGAACTGGATGGCATTAGATTTCATCATGCTTCTCAAGAGAGCACTGAATTGAAGACTTGCCTGTTGTTTATTACTGGAATTTTCCACATAATATTTCAGATTGTGATTGCCTGTGGGTAACTGAAACTGTTGAGAGCAAACCCATGGGTAAGAAGGGACGACCACATACATAAATAAATATCTATTTTAATTGACAGTGGGTGAGAAGCACAGAGTCTGAAGCCTGAGCCAGCCTTCTTGACTTGAGTTCGAGCTCTGCCATGGACTAGTTTTGTGAACTCTGATAACTTGGATCAGTTTCTCAGCTTCTCTGTGCCTTGGTTTCTTCATCTCTAAACTAGAGAGCAGTCACAGTACTCATGTCACTGGGTGTTTGTTTTTTTACTGAATAAAACACCAGTGAAGGATCATCCACGACGATTTGATGGAGTAAACACTGCGTTCTCCACTTTGTCTGATGGAACAGTCCAAGCTGAGAAGCCCATCTCATCACGATTGGGTGATGCAGTCAACAGGGTGTAAGGCCAAGTCTGCCTGACCCTAGAACCCATGTTCTCACCATTCAACTGCACCACCGTCCTCATTGAGCCTTGCCAGTGAGTTTCCTTCACACACCCACTTGATTTTAAAGCTTATGTTTTTCACTTGAAGACATTCTTCATGTATTATGGATGCTAAGATGCTAATTCTTTAGTGAGTCTAGGGCATGTTGTTTAAATCTGTTTTACCCACTTCTACATTTTAAGTTTATTTTTTAACTACCAACAGAAAGTTTAGTTTCTTAACTACTAACAAAACCAACAACAAAGACCATAAAAAGGATACATCCTCATAGGTTCCAATGGAATATTTCAACTCAAATGTGTAATGCTTAAATTGAAATATATATATATATTATCTATGATGAAAAACATTCAAACTCCTTTCTTAAAGCTTTTCAAAATGCATATAGACTACACTATCTACAGTCATCTCACTTGCACAATAGCACACCACATTTACTCCTAACTAGAGGTGAATATTCATCAATGAACTTCTCATTCCTTCCTCCCTCTCTCTACTCACCACAGCTGATGGTAGCCCTCATTCCACTCTCACCTCCTAAGCCCACTTTTTAGTATTTCCCCTCTGAGTGAGACCATGTGGTACTTCTCTTTCTGTGTCTGGATTATGTCATTTAACACAATGATCCCCGGTTCTGCTTTTGTTGTCACAAATGACTGGCTTATATTTTGTTTGTGGCTGAATAATATTCCATTGCATACACATACCACATTTTCTTTATTCATTTTTCCATTGACGGACACTTAGATTGTTTCCGTTTCTTGGCTCTTGTGACTAATCCTGCAATACACAATGGAGGGTAGGTGTCATTTCAACATATTGAATTCATTTCCTTTGGTTATACACCCAGTAATGGGATTGTGGGATCAAATGGCAGTGCTATTTTTAATTTCTTGAGGAAACACCCTACTGTTTACCATAATGGCTGTGCCATTTTGCCTTTCTACCAACAGTATGCAAGAGATCCCTTACCTACATGTCCTCACTAGTACTTGTTATCTTTTCTTTTTGATAATAGCTATTCTTACTCGGGTGAGGTGGTATTTTCTCATGCTTTTGATTTGCATTTCCCTAATGATTAGTGATGTTGAACATTCTTTCACATACCTGTTGACTATTTGTATGTCTTTCCTTGAGAAAAGTCTATTTAAGTATATTGACTGTGTGTGTGTGTGTGTGTGTGTGTGTGTGTGTGTGTGTGTGTGTGTTACCAGGGATTAAACCCAGGGGCACTTAACTACTGAGCCACATCCCTAGTTTTTTATTTTATTTTAACACGGTCTTGCTAAGTTGCTTAGGGCCTCACTAAGTTGCTGAGGCTGGCTTTGAACTCGAGATTTTCCTTCCTCAGCCTCTGAATGGCTGAAATTACACTCATGCACCACTATGATTGGATACTGACAATTTTCAGTTGAGTCGTTGCTGTGGTTATTATTGTTGTGTTTTGTTTTTGTATTTTTTAAATTGGGTTTTGTTCTCATTTCAATTTGTTTTTTATTTTTGTTATTGAAGCTTTTGAGTTTTTTACATATCTTGGATATTTACCTCTTGTCAGTAGTACAGTTTGCTATATTTCCCCTCATTCTATAGGTTGTGTATTCACTCTGTTGTTGGAGTCTTCTGTTGAGCAGATGCTTTTCAATTTGAGATAATCCCATGTGTCTATTTTTTTCTCTTGTTTCCTGATCTTTGGGCGTCTTGTCCAAAAAATCCTAGCCCACTCCAATATCCTGACAATTTTCCATTTTCTTCTTGTAGTTTTCATAGTTCCAGGTCTCACATTTAAGTCTTCAATCCATTTTGGATTGATTTTTGTTACTGGTGAGAAACACAGTCTACACACACACCCCACAAAAACAACAACAACAACAACAACAACAACAACAAAAACACACTCAGAAGAGCTGGGCATACAACAACTATATCTAAGCCTTGATGCTAAATCAAGAAAGAAATGACAGACTTGTCAACAAATGGTGTCCAGAACATCTGGGAGAAAAAGAAACCAAAAAGGTGAAGTTAGATCTCCAACTCAGACTATTTGCAAAATATATAGTCTAACCCAGTTAGAGAAGCGCTTTAAATAGGAAAATCAAAATTCAACATTTTAGAAGAAAATGGAAGAGAATGCATTTTTTGACAATGAGCTTCAGAAGAATTTTTAAAATGAAAACACGGGGGGCGGGAGGGGGGAACATACTGCCTAAAAGATTGATTCGTCTGTCTCCAGAAAAAAAAAAAAAAAAAAAAAACACTCCAGGAAAGTTCCTATTTCCTGATGCTACATCGCTGATCTGCTTGTTTAACCTCTCCTGTAAACCACAATGATTTTGTCACCGTTGCTTTATAAGAAGCTTTGCTATCTGTTTTCCTCCTCCCGTTATTTTTCTTTTATGGATGTATTGCTTTTGTCGGCCTGGTGCTGAATTCCCGTTTGCATCTCTCTGCTTTCTTTAGGGTTCAGATTTTTATTCCTGGAGTCACCCCTCCTCAGTGCTGCTTGTGCATGGTAAACGACCCGAATCTTTGTCTGAAAAATGTCTGCATTTCACTCTTGGTGTCAAGTGATTATTTATCAGTCTGTGAAATTCTGCGTTGATGGCTTAGCTGTGTTCTCCTGGCACGCTTAAGATATTATTCCATTGTCCTCTGTATTGCTGGTACCTGAGGAGTTTCCACTCTAGAGCTCAGCTACGTGTGTAAAAGAATCTTCATTAAATTGCATGTCGCTTTTTGGTGTCGGTGCCAAGACAGCATTCATGTTATTTCATCCACCACACCACCAGCACCGGAAATCTCAGGAGGCCCTCAGCATCTCAGCCCCTGGCATACTGTGGAGAACACAGGGAACGCAGAGGGGTGGAATTTTCAAAAATGTAAGGGAGTCCTTTTTCACCCTATTTTTTGATTCACTTCTCTTTTCAACAAAACTTTTTGGACAAGTGTTTTTATTTCCCTGTTTATTATATTCTCCTTATGAAACAATGTCTGGATATGTGGTCATTGGTATTGATTTGACTATCTACATCATTGGAAAGTGAAGAAGTGGCACATTTCAGGACTGGAATCTCAGATCGTGACTGAAATGCCTGCAATCCCAGTGAACGGGGAGGCTGAGGCAGGAGGATGGCAAGTTCAAGGCCAGCTGTAGCAACTTAGGGAGTCCCTAAGTAAACTTAGAGAGCTACTGTCTCAAAAAAAAAAAAAAAAAAAAAAACCATGAAAAGTACTGAGGACTTAGCTCAGTAGTGGAGCACCACTAACTCAATCCCCAATGCAAAAAAACAAATCCCTCCTAAGCCTGTGGTCTTCCCAGGTCCCAGATTTCCAATGCTGTCCATGCTTTTTGGTCCCTGGACACCATTAAGTCTTCAGTTTATTCCACTTTCTATCCCTAAGATCCAGAGCTGTGACTCACCTATGGAAAGAATATTTTGAATGCTCAAAAAAGGATATTTGGCAAGTAGACCATGGGAATAAACAATCCAAGTTAAACAAGGACAATGAAAGGGTGTACATATATGTGTGCACAAGAACTTATTTTGGATGGGGAAACACTACTTGATTTTAAACATGAATTTGTTGAAGAACAATATCAAAACTCTCATATTCATTTTGCTAAAATTTAAAATGCAGTGTTGACCATGGGCAGAAACGTATTTAGGTGTGGGATGTGACTTCTGCAGAACAAAAATCGAATTCAAATGAATGGAGCAGTAACTAAAAAAGGAATTATTCAAGACCATTTCCAGACCCATAGAGAGTCCCCAAACTGATTCCTATTTAGGAATATTCATTTTATTTATGTACAAATTTAAATCCCAGAGAGACTCTGGGGAACAAATTGAATATTAGACATATAATATGAATACACATAACTATTTGAAAATCATCTATATTGTTGCATATATCAAGAGCTCCTTTTTTATTGCTAAGTACTTTTTCATTGTGTGAATATACTACATTTTGTTTATGCATGAAACAGTTCATGGATATTTGGATTGTCCAAAGTTTGGGGCTATTGCAAATAAACATGGATGAAGGTTGCCATACAAGTTTGCTAAGGACTTGTTTCTATTGTCCTTTTTTATTTCATAGATACCCAGCAGTAAGATGGCAGGATCATGAAACAGGTATTTGTTTCCACTTTTTAAAGGAAATGACAAATATTTTCCAAATAATGATATTATTTTACTTTGCTATCCACAGAGTATGAGAGCCCTGGTTCCATCATCATCTCATCAACATTTGGACAGATTGGTTTTTTTAATCTTAGCCATGCTACTGTGTATCTCAGCGTTTTTTTAGTTTATGTCCACCATTGTTTTAATTTATGTCCACTAATCATTAATAATGCCGAGCAGCTTGTCATATGCTGACTTCCATCCATATACCTCCATCACAAAGTGTCCATTCAGAACACATTCTTAAAAAAATCTTTTGGAGGGCTGGGGATGTGGCTCAAGCGGTAGCGCACTCACCTGGTATGTGAGAGGCACTGGGTTGGATCCTCAGCACCACATAAAAATAAAATAAAGATATTGTGTCCACTAAAAACTAAAAAATAAATATTAAAAAAATTTGAACTACTGAGCATTTAAATTTTTCACAGAAATAAATAGACTTTAAAATTTCTGTTCTTCCAATCCGTGGTTTATCCTTTCCACTAACAGTATCATTTCCTGGGTGGAGGGGTGATAAAGTTTTTTAATATTGATGACATCCAAGCTTTCAAATTTCTTTTTTGGAAAATGGTTTTGCCATTGTAGCTACAAAATCTTAGCTTAGTGCAGACACAATATTTTGCCCTTGTGTCTTCTTCTAAAATTTACCTAGTTTTAGGTTTTATGCCAAGTACATTTTGAGACAATTTTTTCCAACAGTGAGATATGTAGATCAAAGTTCATTTTGTGAGATTTGGACATCTGGGTGTTTCAGTGCCATTTGTTGAAATACCCACATTGTTGTGAGAAATAAATATTTTTAAAATAACTTTAGCTCAGTAAAACAATTCTTTTGTTTCTTCTTTTGTTTGTGTGCTTAGAAAAAAACTTCTGCAACCAGAAATCAAGTAAATGACATTTTCTCCAAAGACTTTTTAATTTTTTTCTTTTTCCTTTAACTCATGTTTTAATCTAATTAAAATTTATTGTGGTAAACAGCAATATGTATGTCTAGATATATAGAGAGGTCACATAGATATATGTGTGTATCATTGGTTAATATTTAAGAACTCTAAAAGATTCCACACGTCAAAAGGTTTCAGTTGATTTTAAAAGTTACATGGAATACTGAAATTGTAAAAACAAGAACAGAGAAGTTCTGGTTCAGACGGGATGGAAATGAGACATGAGATATTGCCACCTATGCAAGGAAATATAAATATTAGAATCAAATACCAGATATAAATTCCATGCTAATACATTTGGAAATAGTGAAGAATTTAAGAAAATAAGAAAGGACAAAATTGGGTAAGGAAGTTGAAAAAGTGAATATAAAATAAATAACGAAGAAATTGGAAAATTTTCAAGGAATTTCCTCTATGAGATGCTATGAGTCCAAAGAGCAGTATGGGTAAAATCTTTCAAAAACTTCAAAGAAATCCCACAAAATATAAACGGACTCACAGCATGAGAAAATATGGAAATTTTCCCAGTTGTTTTTGCAAAGCTAGTAAAACAAACTCTTTCTCTCTCTCTCTCTCTCTCTCTCTCTCTCTCTCTCTCTCTCTCTCTCACACACACACACACACACACACAAATAGGTTAAACTCAATTTAGCATATGGATATAAATAATCCTAAATTGCATTGGAAAATGGAATTAATTAAAACTAACAATACACAGAAAATTAATGTGTTAGACCCAACATGACTTTATTCTAGAATGTGATGATCAGTGTATTATGGGTAATCCATTAATATTGAATCAATAGAGAAAAGCCATATGGTAAACACAAAAGTTCCCCAAAGACCTAATGCTTGAAATTGTAAAAATTTGATATCACTATAGATTCACACCTAACTATAAGAAATAACACACAACAATAATATGGAAACATATCCTCTGTTTTCCAGTGTAACACTGTACATAACTATAGCACAAGCAGGAAATGTATATCAGGGGGAAAGATCCATCTCCCTTATTCAGATTTATATAAATTGACTTCTGTGTGTTTGGTTATATGCAATTTTGTAACAAGTATAGATTTGAGTGCCTATGCCCACATTTAACATGCAAAACAATTCTCCTATAGGGTTTCTTACATACTGTCCTAGCCACAGACATGAATCTATTTTCCATTTCTATGATTTTTCTTTTTTATGATGCTGAGGATTGAACCCAGGACCTTGTGCATGCGAAGCAAGTACTCCACCAACTAAGTTATATCTCCAGCCCCATTTCCATGATTTTGTCATTTCATTTTCATGTAAATAAAATCATAATGTATGTAACCTTTCTGAGGTTGGATTTTTTTTCCCCACTCACCAAAATTCCTTTGAGATCCATGTAAGTTTTTGCTTGTATCAAATTTTCTTTCTTTTTTTAATGATAAGTAGTATTTACTAGCGTGGATATGCCACTTTTTTTTTTGTTCATTTGTTTTATTTTGTTTTGTTTAACTGAAACATTTTTTAACTCCGTAGTTTGGGGCAACTATGAATAAAGTTGCTGTGGAATTTAGGTGCAAATTTTTCTGTGAACATGAATGTTTACTGTTTAAATGTTGTTGTTTTTTTTAATCCAACTCATGGCTGTTAAAGTTTTCATATGTTTAATTTTGTAATCAACTACCATACTCATTTTCATTTTGTATTCCCTCTAGTATATGACTGTCTCCGTTTCTCTACCTCCTTACTGGCATTTAGTGATATAACTATTCTTTCCAGCTTTAGTCATTCTTCTAGGTGTGTGGTAACCTCTCCTTGCGATTTTCACTTGTGTTTCCTTGACGGCTAATGACATTGGACATCTCTTCGTGTGTGCACTTGCCATCTGTGTATCTTTTTTCAGTGGAATATCCATCCATGTCTTTTGCCCATTTTCTAATTGGATTTTTTGTTTGCAAATGTTACCTACCAGTCTTGTAGCTTGCTGATCAATCTTCTTAACAAGGTTATTGCAGAGCAAAAATTTATATTTTTAGGAAGCCTAATTTATCAATTTCTCCCTTTTCAATTTCAATTTCAAGGAACTCTTTGCTTAGGCCTAGCTATGAAGGTTTTCTCCTGTGCTTTTAAATAAATGTTTATATTTCACTACCTTTAAGCTTTCTCATTCATTTTGTGTTAGGTCAAAGCTGTAGATAGAGGTTCATTGCTTTGCATATGGAAGCCCCATTTCTCCAACACCATTTATTAAGAAGCCTTTCCTTTGTCTATTGATCTGCTTATACAACTTTCTCAAAAGTCATTTGGGCATATAGGCATGGGACTATTTCTGGGTTCTCTATTCTAAACTACTTTTATGTATCTATCCCTCCACCAATATCACTTATAAGACTCAATATTCTTCCACTTTATTCTTCTAAAAGAATTGTCTTTAGTTATTTCAGGGTATGGGATTTTTCATATAAACTTTCCCATATAAATTTTTTCTGTATTGAGAGAATCCATGACTGTAGTTTGATAAGAATTGCTTTAAACCCAGGGAACAATTTAAGGATAGTTAATATCTTTGGTATGTCAAATCATCCAATCCATGAACACTGTACATATCTTTAGTTGGGTCTTTGATTTCCATCATCAGCTGTCAAAATTTTCAACATTTATATCATATATATATAATTTATTTATAAATATTTCATTTTGTTTTTAGCAGTTATATGTAATATTGTGCTTTTAGCATTGGTTTCTACTCATTTGTTATGCATTTATAGAAATACGACTGATTTTTCTATACTGATATTGTGTACAGAATATTTGCTGAAATTGTGTATAAGTTCTGTGAGATATTGTTGAAATTCTTCAGATTTTCTGCATAGAAAATAATGTCAACTAAAAATAGGGGCTTTTTTCCATTTTTATATGCATGCCTTTTATATCTGAATGTACTGGTAGAATTTCCATCACTATGTCAACTAAGAGTGATGAAAGAAGACATCTTTCCCTGTTCCTGATCTTAGGGGGAAGATTTCAATCCTTCACCATTAAGTATGATGATAGCTGTAGGTTGTTTGGAAATGTTTTCTATCAAATTGAAGAAATTCCTCTGTGTTCCCATGTTATTTTTTTTCCGAGAGTTTTGTTCATGAGTAGTATCAGAATTTGTCAAATGTTTTCTCTGCATTAGTTGATATAACCCTATTATTTTTCTTTTAGCTTGTTGATGTGTTGGATTACATTGATGAGTTTTGAATGTTGAACCAGCCTAGCACATCTGGAAGGCATCTCGTTTGGTCATGGTATATAAATCTTTTTATACAATTCTGAATTTGATATGCTAATATTTTGTTGAGGATCTTAATGACTGCATTCATCAGAGATATAGGCCTATAATTTTTGGCCCCTTTTTGTCTATTACTGATAAGAAGTATTGTTAGAAACTCCATAAAATACGTTGGTATTTCCTCCTATTCTATCTTCAAAACTTTTTGCATAGAATGGATGTTACTTATGTAAGATTTTTCTAATGAAACCATCTTTTTCAGAGATTTTTTGTGAGAGATTTTTCTCAATAAATTCAGTTTCGGATAGTCCATTCCAAGTTGGTTAAGTTGGGGGTAGTTTTGGGTTTGAGAGAGTTAGTTCTTTTCTTCTAGGTTGTTGAAAATGTTTGTATAAAGTATTACAGAATGTCTCTTTACTTCCTATGACTGGGGATTATGTAATAATATCCCATGTTTCATTCCTGACATGGATGATGTCTTCTCTCTTTTCATCTTTATCGGTTTTTTAGATATTTATCCCCCACCTTCCAAAAAAACACTCTTTTCCCATATCATTTTATTTTTTAATTTTATTGGCCTGTGCTATTAATGTTTTTTTATTCTCTTTTTTTCTGCTTATTTTCTATGTATTTTGTATTCTTTTTCCAGTTTCTTAATGTAGGAACTTAAATTATTAATTTGAGATCTTCTTTCCAAGTGTAAGCATTTATGCTATGAATTTTTCTCTCAGTGCTGCTTTACCTACATCACATATATTGATACATTGTATCTTTCTTTTTTTTCTGTTTTCCTTAATTTCCTTTGATACTTTTTCTTTTACCCACAGTTTATATAGAAGTGTGTCATTTAGTTTCCAAGTGTTGAAAGGATTATAGACATTCATAGCTTTCTTCACAATTTCATTTCTTTAAAAAGCTAGCTTAGATTTGTTGTATGGTTTAGAACGTGGTCTACCTCATTAAATATTCTGTGGACTCTTGATATATGTTCCTTTAAATTTATTGTGTTATTCATTTCTTCTGTACCCTGACTGATTTTTCACATTGTAGTTCTATCAATTACTAAGGAAAGACTGCTGCAGTTTGCAACTTTAATTGTGTATTTGTCTATTTTCTTTTGTAGCTCTATGAGTTTTGCTTTGTGTATTTTGATTTTGAAAAGAATTGAACTTTTCACAAATAGTCTTTTAATCAAAATCATAGCATTTCCCAATGCTTTCTCAAGTCTCATTTTAAATCTATAAAGTTGTGAGGGTTTCCTTCAAAAATAAATATTCTTAGATTTTTTTATTATTTCTACTTTCAAATTTACTAATATCAGTTACTGGTGCATACACACTTAGGATACTTAATTCTTGCATGATATATCTTTTTCCATCCTAAGCTTTTAACTTACGTATGTTGTTATATTTGAACTGAGTTTCTTGCAAACAATATATGGTTAGATCATTTCTAATCTACTCTGCAAATATTTTTCTTTAATTAATATATTTAGACCATTTCTTTTTAAGATAACTAATGATGTGATAGACCTTGCATCTGAAGTTTTATACTTTGTTTTCTGTTTATTTTCTCTGTTCTTTGTTTCTCTTATTCTCTTTTTCTGTATTCCTGTCAAATATACATATACAGTTTTTTTCATTGATTCCATTCTGATTTGTTTATAATGTTTTTGAGAATATATCTATGTATAGTTTTCTTAGAGCTTGCTTTACCAAAGTTCAGTTTTAAAAACACATCTAAATAAAACAAAATCGAAAAAGCTGCTCTTCTAACATAGTAAGTAATACTGTTGAAAAATTTAAATCAGACATAATAGCAAAACATGAAAAGTGTCCCCTTGAAATCATGACATTACAAGAATACTTGTTATTAACATTAATATGTACCTTCTTTTGAAAATTCTAGCTAAAGCAACAAGACAAGAAAATAAATGAAAAAGTTTATACCTGGAATAGAATAAGTTCATCTTTTTACTCTTTTGTTCATCTTTTTACTCTTTTTTTCTTTTATTGACTTCTAGAAAAACAAAAAGTTAAACTTTTGAGAATTGATAACATTTATTAGTTTGCGACTAGCTATAAAATAAACATGAAAACAGTTTTCTGCCGTCAAAATTTTAAATGAAAATGTAAATTTTACAGTAGAAATAATAAAAAATCCTAAGAATATTTTTTTGAAGGAAACTCTCACAACTTTATAGATTTAAAATGAGATTCGAGAAAGCATTGGGAAATGCAATGATTTTTATTAAAAGGCTATTTTCAAAAAGTTCAATTCTTTCAAAATCAAATAATTTACTTGGATTTCAATAAAATGATTGAAACAAATTAGCCAACATTATTTTACAATGAGAAATGAAGATGAATGACCAAAAAGTATTTAGAAATGGCAAAATATTGAAAGAGGACTTGACTTATCTATCAATTAGGTATAATTAAAAATGTAATGCTGGTCCTAGACTAGCCAGACAGATTAAAGATATAGGGAAAACACTTCAGAAATAAAACATAAAACACAAAAATTATTTTATATACAACAAAACACTTATTCAAAACAGTGAGAGAACTGACCATTTGATTAAAATTTCAGGATGCTTAAGAGGATGGTGCATTACATTTTTTCATAAATTAAATTTCCTTTGAATCTGTTAATATATGTCCTGACTCCTTTTTATTTTCTTAAAGATACTAGCCAGACATTGAAAATAGCATTCTTGTTTTACAAAATTCCCCAGATTTATTTATTAAATCTCCTTTTATTATATAGTAGGTTTTCTTCCTTTGGTTTACCGGTTTATTGTACTCTTATTTTTCCAACCTTCATGTTATGAGTCACTTCTATTATTCAACTCTTTTTTTTAGTATAAAAAGATTTTATACTATAAATTTGTGCCTAATAGAACTGTGGCAACATTCTGTATATTTCAATGTGTGTTTTTATTGTAATTATTTATTATATTCCACAACTGTCATTTCATTTATTAAAAAAGGTAAGTATTTATAAGTATCTGTTCACTTTTTTTTTTTGGTTAACATTTGGTTTTATTTCACTGTTGTTAGAAAATGGGTGAGATAGTGTTTTGTGGATAATACTGAGGTTTGCTTTGCACCTTATATAACCTTATTTACACTGTCCACAGAAACTTAAGCTGTGTCACATAATTATGTATCTGTAATATTACATTAATGTAGTTGTATGATTTAGACCTTATATGCTCATTAATTTTATTTGCTTGTGATCTGTTAAGAACTCATAAAAGTGTATCTGAATCTTTCACATGTGTTGATTGTCCCCTCTCTCCAACAGTTATATTTACTTATATAATTTGATGTTCTGTAATTCTGTGCACAAACTTTTATGATCATCTTCTTCTGTGATTATACACTTCACCTTTAAAAGGAAAAAAACTTATTTAAAACCATATACGTATAAATTGAATATAAAAAAGAATATAAATTCAATATCTTAAATGTACATAATTTATTCAGCTTCATATTGATTGTTAAGCCTAATATTTAAATATATATGGAAATTCTTATTTGCCTCATATCCCTTCAAGAGAGTATTTTTTAAGGTAAAATGAAATACCCTAAAGTGATTAAATCTCATAATATTCTTAAACCATCACAATTATCATTTAATTATTTAATTTTATACAATCTCCAATTTCTCTAGAATCATTTAAATGATCAAATCTCAGAACCCTATTTTCCATTAATTTCTAGGTACTTTTAAGAGGCGAACATAACTTGAGAACATTCTTAACATTTTTTTAAATTTGTATATGACAGCAGAATGCATCACAATTCTTATTACACATATAGAGCACAATTTTTCATATCTCTGGTTGCATACAAAGTATATTCACACCAATTCATGTCTTCATACCTGTACTTTGGATAATAATGATCCTCACAATGCACCAACATCCTTAACTTTGACTATTTCTATTTGACAAAGGCCATGGGCCCTGTGTCTCAGGAAGGACTGCTCTAGTTGACTTCCAGCATAGAAAGTGTTGCAAAAAAGTCTTGTTATTCTGAACATTTCCTTCATGGGGATCAGAAATGTTCCCACTGGATACAAGTTTTCTTTAGAAAAGATTTTAATTATTGCAGCTCTTTTTCTAAATCTCACCTCTTCTCATACCTTGCAATGCTTTCAAATGCAAACTAATAGTGTATCTAAACAGCGCCTAAGCAAAACAGTTCATGTTCATCTCTTGAGACATCTCACTGAAGTCTAAGTTATAGATTTAACGTGATGTTTTGAATCATAAAGGTTAGGAGTTTACAGTCATCATTATAATTGAAAGTTTATTTTCCTATGATGAAGTCACTCTAGAATAGCAGACACCAAATCTTACAATCGTAGTAAACTCTGGAAGGTAACTTGAAGATCATTTGTCAAACTGTCTTATTTACAGATGAAAAACTTGCCCAGGAGAAGTTCTATGATTTAGGAGTAATAAAGGAATCCTAATGTTAGTGGCATTTGCGTTTTCCGAGCAAAATAAGACTGAGGCAAAAAGTTGCATTCATTCATGGCATAATTGAGATCAAAATAAACTGAGTATCGAAATTCAAAAATTCCTCAAGTATTAGAATGAATTTTATTTATAGTTTCACATAGCCACATTATTTGCATGCTTTCTGATTAAACACTTGGTCAATGATGACTATTTAACCACAAGAAATTCAATACTCATTTTTTTGGCTAACATTTATTATTGATTATGTGCAGACACTAAGTTGAGCATCATCCATATGTCATATCCTTTAAACCTCACAACAATTCCATAAGGGAGATAATGCCATTGTTCCTATTTTATAATACTAATACTCTGAGCTCTTTTATCTGTGGAAATTTAAGGACTTTGTTCAAGTTCATAGATCTAGTATGAAAGACATGTAAAACAAAACAAAAAACAAACAAACAAACAAAACCACCCCTTGTACCTCTAACTCCAAACTGTACCTCCCAGGTTTTATGGGAAGTTTGACTAGTGAAACGTTTTAGATGAGATTCCTTTGGATCTCTTTATGATGTTGTGTTCCCCACCGCTTGCTCTGTAGGCCTTACTCTTCATGCCTGAACAAGGTCTCTCTTTCAGGGCACTGACCTTGGGGCTCCAAGAGGGCACCCCCAGCTCCCTTACTCCAAGTACATCTCTGGGATTTCACTGGTCCTCCTGACCTCCCTGTGGGATCCAACTGAAGCTGAGACCACCTAACATGACTCTCTCACTAATTTCTTCTCTTTGCTTGATCCCCTGATTCGACCACCAGTTCCTCCCAGGAGTCTCTCCTTTGGAGACCATTTTGCACACAGACCCTCACTTTCCCATCTGCTCCCCAAGACTCCAGCCAGGATGTTCATGCCTGCATCCCACATGACCAGGGCTCGTGGGCTCTGGTGGGAATCATCCCAGCCAGATTCTTTTGTTTTTACTTTTGCATCTCATTTCTCTCTTGGCTGTCAGAGACACTTTCCAGGATTCTAAGGAAATTGTTTGCAAAGAAGTTCGACTCTGCTTTGAACGCTAAAAAAAAGGAATCTTGTTTGGATAAAGGTTTTTCAAAGAAACAATTACATGTTTTTCCTCCTCAGCTTTTGCACAATGAAACATTCAGCCCTTTGACTTTCCAAATTGCCTCAGCACAAAATAATGCCCAACCTCACTGGAGAGCTAAAACATTGGTATCTGTTTCTGTTTCACAATTTTCCCCTTGTATAGACCCTCTGAGCTCAGGTACTTGGAAGTCCAGGCGGTTGACCAAGTGGACAGCAGTGTATGTCTGTCCAAAGATGGAGTGAGCCATACCACGTACACACACACACACACACACACACACACACACACACACACACACACACACACATACAGGCTCTGGGAGAAGAACATTTTTCCATCGCTGGATGAATGATACTGTCCTTTAGTCTTCTTTTCACTTGTGTGCCTACCTTCGTCTCCTACCCTCCTATGTGAAACGGACCATGTTTCCCTCAATACAACATGACATCACCTCTGCCCAGAGTCACAGATTTCTTTTTAGGTCAATCCATCCACAGCTGTCATCATAGACAAGAAATTAGTCTTTTTTCCCAGAATTCATAGGAATCCATTTCCCCTGCTCAGGGAATTGAGCTAGGAGCAGCCTTCTTGCATTGGATTCATCCAGGTGAGTCTGAGTATCATTTAAAATGGGTCAGTCTGTTTGATGACAATTGGTCAACTCTGGGTAGATTGTGCCTTTTTAAAATAAAGACTGTTTTTGGTCAAGGGCCCTCAGGACCTTTTGGCCTTTAAGTCATACATTTTTCCTCGAGAGAAGAAATATGCCACCCTAACAGGAGAATTCCACTCACCCAGTTAGGAGCTGCAGATGACTGTGACCCACTTGGTGGCACTAGGTAGACATGATTGGGCTGCTAGAGTCGGAAGGAACTTATACAGACATTCATGCTCCAGACCCTTGACTGACAGAAGAGGAAACTGAGACTTTAGAGATGAGGACAAACCCCTTAAGTTTCTCTTTTCCTTACAACATAAATTGAGTCCTTAAAAAAAAAAAAAGGAAACCTTTGAAAACAGCAGAAAGGAGATTACTGTCATCGTTCTCCAAACTCAGCACTGTTATGGCTGTTCTGCACGGGGACCCGGGACCGTTTTCATGGGCAGACTCTTTCCCCACCTGTTTGGGTTGGTAAAGCCCCTGAGTTTTAAAAGAAATTATTAATCATGTCTCTTATAAAATCTCAGTTTAACTAACAATTCTCTTCATTTCACAAGTGGGATTCAGCCAGAGGGTTTAAACCCAACAGTACATCATCCTTGATATTCAATCAAACCTTCATAAATAAAGTCAATGGAGAATCCAAGACAGCCAGTCTGAGAATTTGAGTCAAGAAAAAAACAAACCATAAATGCATTTTCTTTTCTTGGGAGGTATTTAGGAGCCAGTGGAGGGCAGAAGACAGCCACCTGCAGACAGTGGGCTGTCTGAGTGAAAGTGGTTGGAGGAAGTATGGAACCGGGGCAGGGGGTGTCAGAAGAGAAGGGCCATCCCCGGCCAATAGTGATGGTCAGGTACAGGCTCATGAAGGTCAGGTTTCACTGGATGGGCCAAGTCAGAGAGAGATGAAGTTTCTAACTCAGACACATTGCCGCTGTGGTGATAATCTATCAATATCTTTTTTAAAAAATTCTTGAAATTCTGAGTCTAAATAAAGATTTGAAATCCTAAAATGATTTCAGCCATGCCACTGTAAAAATTCCATGGGAATGCCATCCTGATGCAAAGACAAACAAACAGGTCTGATAAAACACACAAGAGCTTCTCTTTCCCCAAGTCCACAGCCTCATGAGGGAGACCCAACAAGAAACTGTCCCCCCAGGTGCCCCGAGATTAACAGGGGCTAGTGACAACAGCACAGGTGCCCACTTCAGAGGGATGGATAGGAGGAAAGCTACCCACTGTCTCTGGGAAAGCAAGGGACCAGGAGAGTAGGTGTTTTCACGTCTCTTAGATGGCAGAAAAGACACAGCTAATTCAGAGGAGGTGTCCACGGGCACCTTGAATGGCGGGGACTGACACTCTGCATAGGAAGTGATAAAACCCACTTCCTCAGGCTGAAGGTGTGTCTGCACACAGGAACAAAACAATTTCATGTCACAGGACTGTGGATTTCTAGCCATCTTCCCCTTGGTAAATTTAAATTCACTTCTGTATATTCTGTTCCATTCCCATACCACCCAAGAGTGTTACCGGATGTAAGGTCTGCATCGTGGGACTCACTTTCTTGAACTGGGAGAGACTTGAAGACAGTTGTTAAACATGTGAGTACCAAGACTTTTGCCTTTTTGGCTTAGGAAGGAGATATAAAGTGTGCATTTTTCACTAATGAAATCAAAGGAGTCTTCCTGAAAGGCTCTACTTCAACCTGCCCAGCCCACAAGACGGCCATAGATGGCTTCCCAGCCCACGTGTCCTCCGATGAGTCCCAGAGAGGGACAAAGACCCTTTTGTGTCCCTCCTCCACAAATGGGAATCAGTTACCAGTAGATTTAAGAACAATTGGGAGCTTTTCCTGTTTTAAGACGGAGCTGGAACAATAGTTCGTGATGACGAGACGTTGCCATAATTGTTTTAATTGATGTTATTCTTGTGTTATCTCAGTTTATTGTGTATTTACATGCATTTGCTTATCACAGGTCATGCCTGAAAATGGGCTTCCAGCTCCATTTACATACAGAGTTAACAAATCCGTCGTGGCATACATGTGTATTTCCCAGTCCCACGTGTTTATCTCCGATGGGCTCTGCCATATGTGGTCGCTATGTATTTCATGCCCACATGTTTATATCACACAGATAATCCATCTGAGATTGATTTCAACCTCACTTTTAAGTCCGTGGGACCCGCAGAACAAATATGCATGTTGAAATACAAGCTGAAGTTGTTATTTTGCTACAGAAAGAACAAAAAGAGCTAATGGTTGGGTGTTTTTTTTTTTTTCTTTTCTTCTTCTTCTTTTAACTCTTTGTTATGGATCTATTTAAAATAATGTTCCTGTGGTTTGTTACTCGAATTTGCTAGTGAAAAAGGACTCCGTTGGTACACTGCAGTTCTCTAATGTCACACAAGGAGTTTCGCCTCGCATCCCCCCTGTGAATCCCCCGACCATCACTAAAAGCAAAAAGACGATGTAAACAAAACCACAAAGACAATCACTCCTGGGGAAATGCATTCTTACATCAAGCATCATAGCACAGCTATGAGACTGACACTCTGTTTATAAATGATAAACATCTATCCACACATTCCTACCTGTCTTTCATTTCCCTATATCCGAAGCAGGGCAAAGAAACCAACAGGCGTGCCGGGGGGAGATGAGGGAGAGGGTCATTGTTTTATCGGTTCCACTTACACACTCGCAAGCCACACCTGCACATCTGGAGATGTGTTTTCTGTGAGTTTCATGACTCTGATGTGTTCATTCTCACCCAGTCACACCCATGGGCCGCTCTTGCCATGAGCCACCCACCACCTTTGCAACCCACGTAGGGATGTCACCCGGCAGGGAACAGAACCGGGTGAACGAACAGACTGCGGACGTCACTGCACCCGAAATGGATCCATCATCCAGATTGGAAAGGGATCTCCCTCTTGGGCTTTTAGAGGAACAACCACACGCGGAGGACAAGGGATCTCCTTTAAAGCAGGGGTCCTCGGCAGTGGCTGGCTCTCGCATTTCATTTAATAAAACATCCAAATCCAAACTTGAACCAGGGTAGTGGTTTGTAAGCAAATCTTCTGGGAGATGGGGGTGGGGTGGGGGAAGCAGTGTGAAAAATAGTATAAAAAAACCTGAAGAAGCTATTAGGGTCCATTGTGTCATTCCAGCTGCTACGCAGGCATACTTAGTCCATGTGTCAAAAATGCTTACTAAGTTTTTCTCTTAGAGGAAAATGAGCCCTAAGTACACAATAGCCTTTGTGTCTTTCAAAGCTGGATAACACCAGGGCTCTGCACATCTGTACTGAAGGTACCGTGGTGGTGCTGCACCTAAAGCCGGACTCCTCCTCTGTGTGCCTTGCCTCCAATGTCTCCACGCGGCGGCACACATCAGCAGGCAGGGGCCACGCCAAGCTGTGTGCTAGTCACCCTGGGGGATGCAGCCTGGGCCAGGCCTCAGCATCCAGTGCCTTGCAAACATCTCTTGTTCACCAGCTGGTGATGTCAAGATTCGCTGGGGTCATATCACACAGTTCAGTTTTGCACACTAATGACCCAGACACAAATGACCTAGAGCCACCAGAGTGTCCACACCTTTAAAATCACAGCTGTAGGTGCTGACAGGATTGGCTTGCCTTGCAAACATTTAGGACAAGAGCCCCAAAAGATTTAAAAAATCTTTAAAAAAGGATGTGAATTATCATTAAACCATTATTTGACCCAGCAATCCCTCTCCTCAGTCTATACCCAAAGAACCTAAAAACAGCACACTACAGGGACACAGCCACATCAATGTTTATAGCAGCACAATTCACAACAGCTAAACTGTGGAGCCAACCTAGATGCCCTTCAGTGGATGGATGGATAAAGAAAAATGTGGCCTCTATATACACAATGGAATTTTACTCAGCAACAAAAGAGAATAAAACCATGGCATTTGCAGGTAAATGGATGGAGTTGGAGAAGATAATGCTAAGTGAAGTTAGCCAATCCCTAAAAAACAAATGCTAAGTGTTTTCTCTGATATAAGGAGGCTGATTCGTAGTGGGATAGGGAGCAGGAGCATGGGAGAAACAGAGGAACTCTAGATAGGGCAGAGGGGTTGGTGGAGAATGGATGGGGCATGGGGTTATTAATGATGGTGGAATATGATGATCATTATTATCCAAAGTACATGTATGAAGACATGAATTGATGTGAATATATTGTGTATACAACCAGAGATAAGGAAAATTGTGCTCTACATGTATAATAAGAATTGTAAGGCATTCTGCTGTCATATGTAAGACAGTTCCAAACTACCAATTTCCTTGCAAAAAAAAAAAAAAAAGTATGTTTGAGAATTTACAAATAAAGTCCACTTTTTTTTTTTTTGATGGTACTAGAGATTGAACCCAAGGGCACCTAACTACTGAGCTACATCTCCAGCCCTTTGTTATATTTTATTTAGAGACAGGATCTCTCTCACTATGTTGCTCAGGGCCTCAGTAAGTTGCTGAAGCTGGCTTTGAACTCATGATCCTCCTGCCTCAGCCTCCAGAGCCACTGGATTACAAGTGTACACCACTGCACCCGGCTCTCTCTTTCTCCTTCTTTCTTCATTTCTTTCTCTCCCTGTCTCTCTGTCTCTGTCTCTCTCTCTCTCTCTCTCTCTCTCTCTCTCCCCCCCACCACTTTCTTTCTTTAACACTGTAGTTCAGATCGCATCACAATAATATTTCTCAGTATGAGTGTTAAAATATCAAAAATGTCCTGCTGCAGACCTATGGTTGTTACAGAAAATTATTTAATTCTAATCATTCATTTGTTCGAATCTTTTGAATTTATGGAATCTATCTTGGGAGTGGAACATAAATGCAGCATCCCAAAAGATGAATACCAACTTCAAAGTGCTTGTGTGAGAATTTATTGCTGACATGGAAATATGTATTGCTGTGCAGTATCACTAGTCAAAATAGTAAGCTTTCATTAAATGATCTGTTTGAAAATTCAAAATTATTTTGAAATATGCTATTTTCACAAAGATATTCCTGGTAAGTAGTATAGCATGGAAGTACTTTTATTTCCTATGAATGGCTCCAATGTATTTTATTTTAGTGAACAATTGGCAGTTGCAAGAGATTGGGATAAATATAAATGCACGAAAACCACAGGGATCTCGGAAATCGTTTCACTGCTTTCTCAATAAATAAATCAGAGCATAGATTAAAAGTCAAGATTACAGGAAGCTGAAAGAACATTTTGTGACACCCAGAGATTTGAAGCGAGCCGTGTCTATAAGGGGAATAACCGGGCTGCTGGCTGCCTGAGTAGAGTAGGTGAAGTGTTGCTGAAGTAACAAGCATCCCTTCCGGTGAAAGGAACCAAGTGAGTCATTATGATCACACTCATTACCACCAGTTTACTTAATGGCTCTGTGAAAAGATATGTCAAGGGCTGCAAACATTGTGGCCAATGAGAGACTGGAGAAATAATGAGGAAAATTGGCCCAATCTTTAAGCAAATAAAATTCCAGTAAGCCACAGTGGGGGCGGGGGGTGGTGAACGTTTGGGAGTTGACATTCCTTGGTTTTAGGTGTGAAGGATTTTCTAAAACCTGATTGAAACCAGGAAATCAGAGAGAGAGGGAGGGGGAGAGAGGGAGACCCACCAGTAAAACAAATTTATTCCATATAGAAAACGTGCTTCAATGTTCTTGTCACATGCTTGTTTAGACATTATTGAGTGTTATGTTTCTGTAAAACATTTCAAAGGTTGATGGAAGTTGTACATTTCACGAATTATGAACTAGTACGCGGCACTCTCTAATAACAGATGTAATAAATGTATTTTGACGCCTATTTAAGAACAGCATTCCTTCTCTTGACACTACAATGTAAAGATGTACAATAGGGAACCCTTACCCGTATGTATCAGCTCCCGTGCACATAGATCCCACAATCAATGGCAGTGCAGTCAAAGGATCAAGTCACGCATCGTGACACAGGAGGACGAGATTCAAAACTTCCAGCCCAATCCCAATTCATAAGCGTCACATCCAGCGGGGTGCAGTGGCACAGGCCTATCATCCCAGCAGCTCCGGAGGCTGAGGCAGGAGGACCGCGAGTTCAGAGCCAGCCTCAGCAAAGGCGAGACACTAAGCAACTCAGTGAGACCCTGTCTCTAAATAAAATACCAATAGGGCTGGGGATGTGGCTCAGCGTCCTGTCCAGTGCCTCTTAGTTCAATCCTGAGTACCAGGAAAAAAAAAAAAAAACACAAAGTTACATCCAACCTGGGTCACCTCTGGGGAGGAAGCGCCTAGGCACCACCCACCACCTGCCCTGACTTCTCAAGGTATCAAAGCTCACGCTGATATCCAACCTCAGTCTGCTCTGCGGCAGTGCAAGCCTGTTTCTTCTGCTTTTGTCCCCACTGGCTAATGAGCATAATTGGTCCCTGTCCTCTTTATAATATCCCTTTATGTAGGAATCAAGAATCAAATAGTCCTTATGCCTCCCTGGGTCTTCTTTTCTGTAGATTGAGTGTGTCCAGTCTCCGGACCTTTCCTCATGGGCCACGTTTACTAAACCTTGTATCATTCCTGACGCTCGCTTCTGAGCTCCCTCTCATTTTTCTGTCGGTGATCCCCCAAACCCAGGCTCCCGAGCACCTCCCGACCCCCCAGGCCACAGCCCAGCAGGCGGTTCTCTTTCCTGACGTTTTATTGCGCCTTGAACGGCAGCCATCCATGCGCCTGGAGAGAAACTGCCTTTGCTCTGATGAATCTTCCAACTCTTCTCCACAGGGACACACAGGGACGGGACCTTGTCACTCCCCCAGCTCTTGTTTGGAGAGCTTCAAGTGTCTTCACATACAGCCCTCATGTTCAAACTCTTGGGTTCCAAACCACCTTAAAGAAAGGCATCTGATGTGTCTTTATTTAAAACAAAAAAATAAAAGCATTTTTTTAGAGCAGTTTTAGCTTCATAGCAAAGTTGAGTAGAAGATGTGGAGAGACCCCGGATCCCTGGGCCACCCCCCACCCGCTCAGAGCCAGCCCCCCACCCACCACGGCTGTGGAAGCCCGATTGACTCATTCTGTAACATCCATGAACCCCATGGTCATCACCCGGAGTCCAGAGCTCACCTTGGAGATCCACAAGGGTTGTGTATTCCATGGGTTTTGGCAACTCGGTCACAGTAAGTAGCTGTCACTATGATGTCACTCAGAATACTTTCAGTGCTTTACAAAGCCTCTGCCGTCTGTGTATCTATTTCTTCCTCGCCACTCACCCCTGGCCACCACTGGCCACCACTGATCCTGTTTCTATCCCTACAGTTTTTCTTTTTTTTAGAATGCCATGCAGTTAGAATGATGTGCTCTACGTCCTTTTCCTGTGGTGACTTTTTCACTTCTCAAAAATAAATAGATTGTCCTCAGGGATATCCTCAGGATGCAGAGAGAGGGGATGCTTCTCTGTGTCCAGGGTGCAAATGGAGAAAGCTGCCGTGTCTTCTCACCTTCCCACCGGTGACCGTCCCAGTTCTCAGTTTCTAGGTGGGATTCTGCGTGTCTCTCCACGTGTGTACTCCCAGGACAGTATCCGTTCGTTTCAATGCTTAACGATCACGTTCCCCAGAACTTGGCAAATCTCTACCATCCACCATCCTTCAAATTTTATGCTCCTTTAAAATGCTTACTTTTGAGCTTGAAAACGAAAGGGCCAACATGTCTATGATTTCCTTTTGCCTAAAATATGGAAAACTCTTTAAAGTGATGAGGAGTTTCGACCAAAAATAAAAAGTTTCACGTCATCTCAGCTAAAGCCCTAGACGAGACAGAGTAAAGGAAAACACCCCCTGGTGCGCATCCTGAACTCCCAACCGACAGAATCTGTCTGCTTTGTAAAATGGGTTTTTTTATGAGAACCGAGTTTTGGAGTAATTTGCTGAATAGCTATGGATAACTGGAAAATTTACCCAAGCGTTCCAAAGAGTGTCAGCCTAGGCGAGATGAAGACATGTTGAAGTTAGTGTGTTCGCCATCCCTGACTAGCTCGCTGGTACA